GTGAGTTGTACAAGTTTGGTATTCTCCTCATAGTGAAACCCCCTCCCGTGGACGTAGGCAAGTTTGCCGAACCACGTAAATCTCGTGTCTTAACTGTGAGTTGGTTTTTGCTTGTAGGTTCATTCGACAAGTCAGTCATATAACTGATGAGAGGTTGAGCTAGAACAAGAGTTGGCTATTGCTTGTATGTTCCCTCGACAAGTCAGTCCTAGAACTAATGAGAGGAAGAGTGTATACCTCACTTTGTTGAGATATTTTACTTTTTGTTCTTGTTTCCTTTGTGAAACAGGAATATAGAGGTTTACTTGAACTTTTGTGACAACAAAAGTCATGGCTCTCTCTCGGGTGATATCGCTTTCACGGCGTGAGGACGTGACTTTGCGCCCAACAATTCCAATTAGTTAGCCTAATCCAACCTACAAAAATCCTGGATCTTTGTAGAATTTGGTAGCTCAGTTCGGAAGAGACTTTTGGAATTGCATTACATCAAGTGGTTAGACAGATGACTTTGTATGTTACAGTCATAAGATAATGCATAAATGGCTTTGATTTATTCATAATATGCTCAATACTATATCCTTATGAATATCATCTAGTTCCAATTTTTCTCAGAAAAATACATCATAATCTATTAACTGATCTCCTCATTATCCATACATAGAGAGAAGAAATTAAAGCCTTTCTTTTAACGAACTGGACGGAAGTCACCCAGCTACTCAATTAAGTAACAAATATGACTATTTGCTGATGCACATATTACAAATTTCTGGTAGGGCTGCGGTTATCCCAAACATAGAAGAAATTAAATAACAAAACTGCAAGGAAGAATGGAGTTTGCATATTTTTTTTAACCCTATAATTAGCGCTGAACAACGGCAAGTTATCATGGTAGAAATTTCCTAATCCGCTCTGTTTTTCCCTTTATTTTAGCCAGTAAAGTATAGAATTTACATTCTTCAACAATTATCTATAAACTGGAAATATCACCTTAAACAAGCGCCAAACTAACCATCTGACCGATTAGAGGCGGAGAAAAGTCGAAGATAAATTCTCGGTATTACAGAGGTTTACAGCGCTTGCTTTCGTAGCTCAGTTGGTTAGAGCACCCGTTTAGTAAGCGGGAGGTCTTGAGTTCAACTCTCAACGAAAGCACTCTTTAACTCTGCCGTTTGCGTGAAATCATTGTAATTTACATTTTATTTTGCTATTTTATTAGCCCTTCTTAATTTCGCGTACATGCGATGCGCATCTAAAGAGACTGTTTTATTTTGCAACCCTTCCTAATAAAGCCTCACTGAGAACAGATATCCTCACTGTTCCCTTCATATTTTAATTTATGAGTCAAATTTTAACGAAGTATATTACTGCGTTAGGATTTAGGGCATGTTGCATTTTTATGAACGTTGGGGATTTACGATGCAAATATGAAAATCGTACGTTCACATTATCACTTCAAACTGAGTGTTTTTTTTCTGTTTTGGTATGGAATTATGATTTGTTTTCTCTTTCTGCGAGTCTTTATCACAAATTTTCACTCCCACAAAATCCTCTCCGTTTGGAGGGGTTTGATTTAAGAACTATTGAGTGTCACATCTGCATTGTCATGCTTTTCGAAGATGCAGTCCAACATTAAACAAGTTGCTGAAGATCTATTATGAGAAGTTCATATATGATATTAAAGTGTAGTAGATTATATGGGTACTGGATGCTGAAAAGCAAAAAAAAAAAAAAAAAAAAAAAAAAAAAAAAAAAAAAAAAAAAAAAAAAAAAAAAAAAAAAAAAAAAAAAAAAATCAGCATAAGTGATCTTGATAAGAATTCCAAATTTACATCAAGGAGGAATGAAACCACGTGCAACATCCCAGACGAGTAAAAGCTCCTCTGATCAACAATCTGATGGCTCTCGTGGATATTTATCTAGTGATGGACAGTGACAAGTAAAGCAAGACTTCAAAGACCAGCCTAGGATTTCTATTGCTAACAGATTGTGGGCTCAAGCTTCAGAAATTTTATAGAGAATTAAAGGCTGAAGATGAAGCAATGGGAGGGTCTTAAAATCAAGTAGAGAATTTGGAGGATGAAAAGGATGCTGAAGGGGATATTGTTATGAATGAATAAGAGGAAGGGGATAAAAACAAGATGAACATGATCAGATACTTCAAGAACAGAGCTTGCTGGGCAAGGAAAAGGAAGCTTCTGATAATATACATCAATTGCCTCTTGAAGGGAAGAATCCTACTTGGAACGAGTTTCATGTTGATTCTAAAACGGTGGAGGATACTGGTGATAAGGAAGAAGACAGTAAAATAGGAAAGATGAAGTGGAACATCAAGATATGTGAAACTCTTCTGAAATTCATAGTGATTCTGAAACTGTGTGCGCTGTGAATAAGGAAGTTGAAAATGTGGAAGAAGATTGTACTACTGATCTTTCATATGGGTGTTCAACTATGAAAAAACGATGGGAAACATAATCCGGCAATACCGAAAATAACAAGGTGGAAGGTGTCCCAAAAGCTGGACAACAAATTTCTATGGTGAGGAGAAGCTCCAGATTGGTGGGAACTCATTCACTTTCATCTATGTATAGAGCGTCTACAAGGGTTGCAAAGACAGATTCTGGATCAGCTGTTGCTTCAACATCTTCCTCTAAAGATGGTCGTATGACCGCTTCTCTTGGCTCTTCTTTTGTTCCTATTCTTTTTTATTGTTTAGATGATAATCAAATTAGTCATTTAGCAGGCCCAATATGCTTTGTTGTTTAAAAGCATCTGATAATTTTGATCCTATTGCACATATGAGATGAATAGAGAAAGATAGAGCTTCTAAGACCATCTCCAACCCCGCGTCATTTTGAGGCAAAACGTCATTTTGCCGCTCCGATTCTTCTCCAACCCAGCGGCATTTGTCGCGCTATTTTAGCGGTGATGAACAGCGCAACGCCATATTTGGCATCGCACTGTTCATCACCGCATTACTGTTCAATTATTTTTTTTTTTGTTTAACCTCATACTTTTATGTATTTACAATTTGACACCAATTGTTTTATTAAATGTATAAAACAATCCCAATAATATTTAAATTTTATAATTTTACCCCAATTGTATAATTTGGACAAAATAAATTATTTTTTAAAATTAAAAATAATGCTAAAATTTAAAAGACATTATTATTAATTATAATATTAAAATCTAGATATTAAGGAAATAATTGCCAAAATTAGAAGCAGACCCTTGTTCTTGTTGATTTCTTTTTTGTATTATTTTAATCTGTTGAGCTCGAACGTACTCACGCACGTTTGGATCAGCAATGGAATTCAAATCTTTCATTATAATTTTCCATTCATCTCTATCTTTTTTATGGCTATCTTTTCTCGTTCGATATCAAACGCTACTTGTCTGTCCAAGCTCGCCTTGTCTAACCTGTCTATAAGTCGGTTGCTGGAGGTCTCGATGGAGTCCACTACACTTGACTCATGATCATCATTTTTCCTTTTCAATTTAGCTTTTTTTACCCCAATAGGTCGTTCAGATGGAGTAAATGATGACAGTCCAGGAGATGTTGATATAGGAGATTCCGGAGTGGGATTATCTGATTGTGACGAGTCGAAGTTCACACTTTGGGATTGTCTTCGACCAACTTGTCTTGCTGTGGGGACATCATCTTTGAATTTTTCGAAATTTTTAACCATATTCCAGACATGATCAAATTTGAAACCTTTTTTGTACTTTGGTTCTTGCATAAATAACATCTTTGCTCGAACTAACTGCAAATTATAGTGAACATCAAGTTATGTATTTCAACAATAATAATAAAATTCAAACGATAATTAATAGAATACTTACAATATCTTCATCTGAAGCACCACTTGGATTCAGATTCTCTACTTGTCTCAAGCACGCATTCAATTTCCTTACTTCATTACTTATGATTTCCATTCGAGAACGAATTGATCGGCTCGTACGCATCTCAAAATGCTGATCTCGAAGTTCATTGTATTTGTCCTCCACACGAGACCAAAATGCATCTCGAGACTGGATTCTACCGATAATAGGGTCTTGAGAAATATCCAAGAATACTTGACAAAGGAGCACATCTTCAGTAACCATGTATCCAGTTGATCGAACAGACATTTTTTTGTAAAAAGCGATTGGTTTGGAGATCAGAAATACTTTGAAGGAATACTTCGAATTGGGTGGTTTGAAGTAGAATTCGTGCATGTTATTTATAGCCAATCCAAATTTGTTTTTTTTTTGTTTGAATTTGAATTTGAATTTGAATTTGTCGGTGGTCAACATTTGAAATTGAATCATTTTGTACAAACTGATCAGCTTTACACATTATCCAACGTTATCGGTGGGAATCAATTTTTAAAATCAGGTTAGCTTTACACATTGTCCAACGTATACACAGCTCAGCTCTCCTTGAATTGTGTGAAAGCTTTGTACGAGTGGGAATCAATTTTTGAAATCAGGTCAGCTTTACACATTGTCCAACGTATACACAGCTCAGCTCTCCTTGAATTGTGTGAAAGCTTTGTACGAGTCGGAATCAATTTTTGAAATCAGATCAGCTTTACACATTGTCCAACGTATACACAGCTCAGCTCTCCTTGAATTGTGTGAAAGCTTTGTACGAGTGGGAATCAATTTTTGAAATCAGGTCAGCTTTACACATTGTCCAACGTATACACAGCTCAGCTCTCCTTGAATTGTGTGAAAGCTTTGTACGAGTGGGAATCAATTTTTGAAATCAGGTCAGCTTTACACATTATCCAACGTATACAGCTAAAAGCAAATTTGAATTTTGTGACAAATTGATAACAGCTAGAAAGCATTTCCTAAAATCAGCTCAACTTTACACATTGTTCAATGTATACAGCTAAGCAAAGTTTTATAAATAGCATACTAGATTAGGTACATCCACACAATTACTCATTGTTGTGTTAAAATTATTATTCTCCATTTCTGCATACTTCAGTCATTCTTTTCTTACTTCAAAAATGAATTTCGATGTTGGAGGTCCATCATACTTATCATCATCTTCATCTTCGGATGATGATAATTTTCTGTCCAATATCATTGCAGAGATTGATGAAACCGAAGAAGTAATTTGTGAGTACATCAACAACAACATGATCCTCGTTAACAATTTACGTCAACACAACTACCAACCGATCCATGGTGGCTCGATTCCCGGTCATGCAGTGATCAACCGCGATCGAGAAAATGCGCATCAGAATTTGGTCATAGATTACTTTGCCGATAATCCACGTTTTGGAGAAGATATGTTTCGTCGTCGATATCGGATGTCAAGAAGTTTGTTCCTTCGTATTGTTGATGCAGTGAAAGATCATGACTATTACTTCCAACAACGAAGTGATGGACTTGGTAGAATGGGATTATCACCGTTACAGAAAGTAACAGCTGTTTTTCGCATGTTGGCATACGGTCTACCAGCTGATGCTACGGACGAATACGTTAAAATAGGTGAGTCAACAGCAATTGAAAGTATGACAAAATTTTGTCGTGCTATGGTGGAAATATTCGCAGAGCGGTATCTACGAACACCTAACGCTAACGATATTGCTAGGCTACTCTATATTGGAAAAAAACGTGGTTTTCCAGGAATGTTAGGAAGTCTTGATTGTATGCATTGGAAATGGAAAAATTGTCCAACAGCATGGTCTGGGCAATACACAGGACGTAGTGGGTCACCAACTATTATCCTCGAAGCTGTGGCAGATTATGATCTTTGGATATGGCACGCATATTTTGGTATGCCAGGCATCAATAATGATATCAATGTGCTGGAGTCATCTAATCTTTTCTCTAACCTAGCTCAAGGTATTGCTCCTCCCGCTCACTATGTTATTCAAGGAAAAGAGTATAATATGGGTTATTATTTAGCTGATGGTATATATCCGAAATGGGCTACTATTGTACAAACAATCCAACAGCCACAAGGTAGGAAGAAAAAATATTTTGCCATGAAACAGGAAGCATGTAGAAAAGATGTAGAACGTGCGTTCGGAGTTCTCCAATCACGATTTGCAATCGTGGCAGGATCAGCACGTTTTTGGAAAAAAACATGTATTACATGACATAATGACTGCATGCATTATTATGCACAATATGATAATCGAGGATGAACGTGATCTTTATGCACCAATTCAAGAAGTGAGGGAAGCACCAACACCAGAAGTTAATATGGTAGCAGATGAAACTACAAGATTTACTCAATTTATTGCACGTTACGGAAAAATCAAGGATAAAGATGCCCATATTGCGCTTCGTAATGCATTGATAGATCATCTATGGGAGGAATACACTAATTCAGATAGTTAAGAGCATACTAAATTTGTAATTTTTACATTGTTGTTAATGTTTAATTATTTTCTTACATTTTATTTTCTGTTGTGTTCTTGAATGTAATATTTTGGCAATATTAATAATAGGTATATAATATTTTATTGTTTTATTAGTTTAATTTTTTAAATAATAAATCATTTTGTTTGGAAAATATGTGAAAAAATAAAATTTGATATGTGAGGTTAATTGTTGAAATAGTTAAAAATATAGGGAATAAAAAATAATCATATAAAAGTAGATAAAAAGAAAGATACTAAGAATATTCCTTTTTGGTGCAAAAAATGGTGCAATGGGTTGGAGATGAATTACTGTTAGATGTGACTTTTGCACCATTTTGAGGCAAAGGGTTGGAGATGCCCTAAGTGAAGCTGTTATGCGCACTTCTGTGTGATTAGAGTGTGTGTTTGGTCCTGGAATGTGAGAGGTCTAGAAGACGATTGGAAAAAAAATATGGGGTAAAAGATTTCCATGTGATGAATAGAATTTGATCTTATGCGTTTCCAAGAAATTAAATTGGATAGAGTATCAGATTCAGTTTTGAGAAAAATTAGAGGACAATTATATACTGAATGAGTTTGTCTTCCTACTTGTGGTCTGCAAGGGGCAAGGGGTATGTTGATTGGATGGTTTGATAATAAATAGAGTAAACTTAGAGAAATAGCAGATCAGTATGCTTTGATTGTGATTTTGAAAAACAAAAGTTGGCAATTTTTAATGGGCTTGAATATTCGTTTATGGACCTCATGTTCATAATGACAGACAAATCCTTTAGCAAGAATTGAGAGATATTGAAATTTCTTTAGCCTGTGCATGGGTTATAGTTGGTGACTACAATGTTACTAACCTAAATGCTGAAAGAAAGGAAAAGGCTTACAATACAAAAAATTAGGAGGAGCTTAGGAAAGCTATCAATGATTTAGAGCTTCCTAACATATCTACGAGGGGGATAAAATATATTTGGTCAAGCAAAAGAGATTCTCCTTCATTTGCAAGATTAGACAGATTTATGTTCAATTTATGGGAAAATAAAATTCCTCTCTTTTCACAGCATGGTTATGCTAGCACTCTTTTTTTTTGGTCAATGAAAAATTTTATTTCACTCACCAAAGTGTAAACGTTTTGTACATCAAGACTCTCAAATACATTGAGGTATCAAACTGAACATTCTAAAATAGAAAATAGAAAAACAGTGGAACTAAAGTATCAAAACTGATTTGCCTGATACTGTTACAAGAGCCAATTATAAGCTTCATCAGGCAATGAGCTATTAAGTGAGATGGTCCAAGTATCAACTTTTATGGCTTTGATCAGCTGTTCTGTACTTCTGAATTCCTCCTTGAAGATCCTAGCATTCCTTTCCCTCCAAATGTTGTAGATTGTAGCCGTGAGAGCTAGTCTTTTAATTCTCTGTTTGCTTCCTTTTCCCCTTAACCTGGAAGTATACCAGTTCATGAGCATACGCCAATCCGCTGATTTCCACTTGAATTTAAGCCACTCCATAATACCATTCCACACACAATTTGAGAAGTTGCAGTCAAAAAATAAGTGATTCCTGCTCTCAACTACTGCACCTTCACACAACAAACACTGATTTGATTGGATGATCCCCCTCTTGTGTAATCTATCCTGTGTAAGGAGTTTATCTTGAATGGCCAGCCACATTATGAAAGAATGCTTGGGATAGTTTAACTTCTCCCAGACAGTATCATGCCAGTCTACCTTTGAACCTGGTTTTAGAGCATTATACAGAGCAGAGAGGTGGACTTTGGAGTTTACATAGCAAGAGCTAATTAGATTCTTCAAGTTCTCAACTCCACCCAGCAAGTTCACAGCATAGTCTCTAGACTTGATTAATTGCTTCCATAGCCAAGAGTCACCTGCTTTACTCTTAACATGCCAGATATTATTATCCTTAAGATAAGTGCCATGAACCCATTTTATCCATAATGACTCCTTGTTGATGTAAATATACCAAAGAGTTCTCAGTGCAGTTGCTTTATTCCATAGGGTAGCAGAAAAAAACCCCAAGCCTCCATTGATTTTACCAGTAGATACATTGCTCCAAGCAACAAGAGGAACCTTGCCCCAGAGAAAGTTTCTACATAGTTCATCTATTTTATGAAGGACTTTTGCTGGAAGGATATAGCTAGAGGTCCAGAATATTTGCACTCCCAGAATTACACTCTTTATGATTTGTAATCTACCGGCATATGATAGATTTTTGCTCTTCATCCATGTTTGAAACTGGTTTGTTATTTTCATGAACAAAGGATTACAGTCCTGGTAAGACATCCGCTTGCATATGAGTGGCATACCAAGATATTTAATGGGCAAGGTACCCTCAGGGAACCCCAAGCTTCTTGAAATAGCATTCTTATCTGATTCTTGAACCCCACCATAGAAGATTGAACACTTCAAAGGATTTGCCTCCAATCCAGATATATCCCCAAAGTCTTTGACACATTTGTAGATTTTTTGTACAGAATATAAATCACCCTTACGGAAAAGGAGGAGGTCATCGGCAAAAACTAAGTGTGAGATTTTGAACTTTCTACATTTAGGGTGGTATTTAAACTGTTTGTCATATCTTAGAAGTTCAAAACTCCTGGACAGATATTCAAGATCAATAATGAAGAGATAGGGGGAGAGGGGGTCCCCTTGCCTTAGGCCTCTTTCTCCATTGAAGTATCCATGCAATGAGCCATTTAGGGAGATGGAGTATTTGGGGGAAGTGATACATGACATGATCCAGCTTGTAAAGATTTCAGGAAACCCCAGGCCTCTTAACATAGCATACAGAAAATCCCAACTGATAGTGTCGAAGGCTTTTCTTATGTCAATATTTATCATTACCCTGGGTGAAAGATTTTTCCTGCCGTAGTTCTTGACAAGTTCATGTGCTAACAAGATATTACTTGAGATTTGTCTCCCTTTTACAAAAGCACACTGAGCCTCATTGATGATAAACCCCATCACAGTTTGAATTCTATTTGCTAAAATTTTTGATATGAATTTATAAAGGCAATTGCAACAAGAGATTGGTCTGAAATCAGCTGGGGTTTTAGGGCATTGTACCTTAGGAATCAAGGCAATGTAAGTTGAATTCACAGCACCCAGCAGCTTCCCTGATCTAAAGAATTCCCTGATAGCAGCTATAACCTCATCTCCAATAACAGGCCATGCTGCTTTATAGAAGGAGGCACTATATCCATCTGGACCTGGGGCTTTATTATCTGGTATAGAGAAAACAGCAGCTTTAATCTCTTCATCAGTGACTGGCATAGAGAGATCTCTCCTTTGATTTTCCATCAGACATGGTCCACTGCTAATAATATTTGCATCAGCAGTTGAAGTGTGCTTGGCAGTGCCCATAAGACTCTTGTAAAAAGAGATAAACTCATTAACAATTTCCTCCCCATCAGAGATTTTCCCCCCATCACTATTATATAGTGTTAATACCCTGTTTTGTTGTCTGTTGGATTTAATGATAGAGTGGAAAAAACTTGTATTCTTGTCACCTTGTATACTCCAATTTATCCTTGTCTTTTGCTGATAAAAAGATAACTCACAAGCAAAGAGTTTACTGTATTTTGAAATGCAGCACTTTTCTTGCCTGATGAGCATAGAATTTAAGGGATCAGATTGCAGCTTCATTTGGACTTCATCCACTTCAGCTTTTGCTCTCAGGACCTGTTCACTTATATTGCTAAAATGTCTTTTATTTAAACCTTTTAGAGATTCCTTCAGTTTCTTCAACTTCGAATACACAGAGAAAATTTTACAACCTCTCACAGAATTCCCCCAAACAGCTGATACTATAGGAAGAAAATCAGCATGTTTTGTCCACATTTTGAAGAATTTAAAAGGGTTTTTCCCCTGTATTTTATCTTCATATATGAAATAATAGCAGGTGAATGATCTGAGAAACTTGGAAGCATGTACTCAACATGACTTGCATTGTATTTGTTAATCCAGAGATCATTTACTAAAGCTCTGTCCAGCCTGCACCACACTCTGGAATCTGAGTCTTGTTTGTTGTTCCATGTATAAAAACAGCCAATAGTTTTGAGATGTGATAACTGACAGTCTTCAATGAACTTCAAAAATCCCTTGTATCATTTTCAGTTAACATGATACCCCCCAGTTTTTCCTCATTACTAATCATAACATTGAAGTCTCCACAAAGTAGCCATGCTTCATTTCCAATTGTTTGCTTGATCTGAGCTAATTCCATCCACAGGTTTTTCCTAGTTTCTTGATGATTTAAACCATATACTGCAGATAGTATGCTACTGAAATTACCATCCTTTGAATTTACAGAGCAGGTAATTTGCTGGGGAGAAGAAAACAGAACTTGAATGTCTAGGACATCAGGATCCCACAAAATGAGGATTCTAGCTTTTGCAGAGCAAGTAGCATTTGAAAACCAGCTCCAATTCTTTGCTATCCTATTAGCAGCCTCAGGCACTTTAGTATCTCTTATTTTTGTTTCAAGAAGAGAAAAGAAAGAAAGGTGATATTGTATAAGGTGATTCTTTACCAAAAGTTGTTTAGGGGACTTATTCAAACCCCTAACATTCCAAAAAGAAAAATTCATGTTGTCTTACCCCCTCTATCAATTGTAAAGTGGTCAAAGTCATTTATTTCACTGTTCAACAGAGAAAAAGGATTCATAATCATGGAATTCTTCCTCTCTTGATTTTGCATTTGTATTCTTGAGGCTTCATTTTGTGTAGATTTCCTACTAGTATTTTGTCCAGCATGCACAACATGCACGGAATAGTGCTCTCCAGATATAATTGAATTTACACCTTCCTGGCAAATACCAAAATCTTTCCCTGTGGTCTGATTAATCTCCTGCAGTACCTCTTTTCCTTTCCTATTTTCTGTAGGTGAGATTTCCACATCTATAACACTTTTTGCATTTTGCTCCTGGACTGTCTGATCAATCTGAGCCTCCTGTTTACCAGAAATACCATCTTGAGCTTGTTTGGGTATCCATCTTTGCACCATAGGCTTCCTTTTACAGTGTTGATTGTCATGGCCCACTTTCTTACAATGATCACACCACCTTGGTTTCATAGGCTTCCTTTTACAGTGTTGATTGTCATGGCCCACTTTCTTACAATGATCACACCACCTTGGTTTTAGTTCATAGATAACCCTCTGTGTATAAGAACACCCATTTGGGCCTTTTATAACCACTTGGTCAGGCAGTGAGGAAGGCAGTGTTACCTGAACCAAAACTCTTGCATAAGCTAACCTTTTCCTATTTGCAGTAAGCTTATCAGTAGCAATAGGGTGACCAATAAGACTAGCAATTTTTCTTATCCCCTTTTCATTCCACAGATTCAGTTTTAATGCAGGGAACTGGATCCACATCGGGTAGATGTGTTCATCAGCTTTTTCAAAATCATCCCCCATAGACCATGCTTTTAATAAGAAATGTCTTGAGCCAAAAAACCAAGGTCCACTCATAAGTATTTCATTCATTTCATCTTTACTATTGAAATTAAAGAGAAACACCCCTGGTTTAAGAAGACAGATTTCTGGATTTGCAAGATGTGACCAGACTTTTTTAACAAAACTTTCCATTGCTTTAAATCTTACATTTATACCCAGAACTTGACCAACAAGAGAGAATTTCCAGATAGAAGCCCCTGCATTCCATTCATCATCATCATCAAAAATGACTGTATCAGTTCCAGCGAGGAATTGTAGCTCAAACTAATCCAGGCACCCTGTTTCCTATTATCTGAAAAGAGACTCACACCAACTTTTCTTAACATTTCAGACCGAGAGGTAGAGAATCAGATCAAATTATCTGTATTAAGATTTGTACTTTGATCCAAATTGACAGTAACTGAATCAGGCTTTGCAGAGCAAAAATCAATGGAATAATATCAAGTTTTGCAGAAGAATCGGATCGAAGCAGAAAACAATGGAGCAAACTGGATTCGAAGCAGAAATCAATGGGCTAAGAATTTTACTTCTTTCGATGAACTGGATTACTGAGATCGAGAGAGAGAAGACTCTTTCCCCAAATCAACTTCATCGGCCCAAGAAACCCTATTAGATCTACTAGAGATAGGAGATTTACCGAAATGAGGATCCATCATCTGAGATCCCAGAGAAGTAGTAGATTCAAGAATATCCGCCATTATCTTCTTCTTCCTTTCTCCCTTAGGTCCAGTTGAACCCATTATACTAGAGGGAGATTCTTCATCATCTTCAACAAAATCGGTATCAAAATGATCACCAGGAGTAGCTAAATTTGGATTTGCAGCTCTAAGACCAATGCTAAGGATCTTTTTCCCATTATTTCTCTTTTTCCTCACCATTTGATCTCAGCAGGTGTGCAAGTTAGCAACATCTAGATCGCCCGCTAACTTGCACCACGGACTGCTCCTCGAGTTACAAATTTTTGTTTATGCTAGCACTCTTGTAGATCATGTTTGTGTGTGTTTAGAAATCAAATATGATATTTCTAGGAGAAAGATTTTTAGATTTGAGAAATTTTAGATGCAACATGATAATTTTGATCAAAATGTTCATAAATGGTGGAATGAGGCTCCTATGTGTTTTTCTGCTGCAAGAAATATTATTGCAAAGCTGAGCTTTTTGAGAAAAAAGATGAAACATTGTGCCTCAATAAATTTTCATAGTATCATAAAAAAGAGTATTCTAGAGGAGATTTTAGAAATTAATGTCTTGGAGGAAAATTGAGATTTGAATAAAATTGTGACAGAAAACTAAAAGATATGAGTTATGTAATCAGTTGAATAATATTCTTTCGCCACAGTAAACTTTATGGAAATAAAGATCTAAAAACTCTCTGGCTTAAAAAAGGAGACAGTAATAGTGCTTATTTTCATCATATACCTAATGGCAAGAGAATATCTAATTTGATTTCCTTTGTGGAAGAAAATGGTACTGAAATATTAATAGAGAAAGACATTGCGGAAGTGTCTCTAATTTTTATAAGAAATTGGGGGAAACGTAGAAAATGGATATGAAATGAATTAGGACATGTTATATCCTAAGAAAAACTGGGGAACTGAAAATTTGGAGGAAAGATTTGTTGGGTTCGATTAATCCAACGAACCCATATGGCCCAACCTACTCGTTTTTTGGTTTGATTTAAAGTTGTCATCGATTCAAATTAGAATCCGGATGCTATCCACATGGTCTAGTTAGACAGTTTCATGTTTATCAAGTTGGGTGGTTATCTTGAATATCTAAAGGATAGGATCAACCAGAGTGTAATCCCACGGTTGTGATTAAACCATGACGGGTAGGGTTAATCACAAATATCTATTTAAGAGTGGGAGTCACTCCTCTCAACCGTACGCAGAAAAGAGACCAAATTCCCATCGCTGGCTACTGGAGGAGAGAGGAGAAGACTTCCATTATTTTTCGTCGGTGAACGGTAATTTAGATCTATTTTTCTGGTTTAACTATTCATGCCTAGATCGTTAAATTATCTAACAGTTGTATCAGAGCTCAGTTTGTGCATGAATTTTGATCTAGAATTAAAGTTTTTTTCGGATTAAAAAAATTTATTCAACAATTTGCAAGTTCTGCGGCTATGGCCATGAAATTTCATCATGGGTCAGAATAGATCTATAATTTTTTTTCTTTATTTGCCGTCAAACTGTGGCCATGGCCAGCGAACAAAAGATTAAAAAAGGGAAAACGTCAGGAGCTGATATTTTGGATGGGAACCCATCGATTGAGTCGAGAGCTTTGGAAGCTGAGAACCTGGAGCTAAAGTTGAAGACTTGGAAGCTTTGGTCTGATATGTAAAGCCTAGGGTGCTATCTGCAAGCACTTATAATTACTAGGGTGAAGTGTCCAGCTCAGCATTTGTATAACTGTTTCTGTTTTTGTTGTTTTAGTTAAACTGTGTGCACGTGCACAAACAGTGCACGTTTCTTTGAGAGAGGATTGAATTGTTGAGTTGTATAAATAGTGAGTTGTAATGATCAGTAAAGGAATGAATGAAATCTGAAGTTTTCTTTTCCTTAACTCTTATCTCTGTTCTTCTTCAACCTCTATTCACCTTCTCCCTCAATTCTCTCCTATACAAACTCTTCTCAATTTTCTTTCCAGCTTCAATCATGGCCACAAATGGTGCGAAGAGAGCTACCAGAGAATTCAGATCCTCACAATTGGTATCAGAGCTGGTTGTCAGCGTTACGAAAAGGACTACCTGTGGAGAGGCTGACCGGCGGAGGGGCTGACCGGAAAAGGCCGAGTAAAGCACCGCCGAGTGAAGCGTCATAGAGTGCAGCCATCGAGACGTCGGCTTTCAGGGACGGTGCTATGATAGGGACTTGGGTAGTATGGGATGCCTAAGTCCCACATCGAGTAATATAGGGTGCTTGATAGGGTATTTAAGTGGCTTGATTCTTCCCCCTTAACAGCTAGCTTTTAAGGGTAGGTTCCCCAAGTTGCTTAGGTACCTAACAAGCATAGGTACCTAACAATTGGTACCAGAGCCGAGCTTATTCGATCAACAATGGACGACAAGAATGAGTAGGATATCTTCTCAGCTGGAAGAGAATGCAAAACTTCTCCAAGAACTCAGGAATTCCAAGGATCAGGGCTAAGGAGTCACAGGGTCAGGAGCAAGAGATGAACGAAGGGTCTTTACCTCGGAGCTAAGAAGTGATCGGGGAATATTGGGGCTAGGCACCAAGAATCTGGGCCAAGGAATCTTGGGTGCTGGGATGAAGAACGATCGGCGAATCTTGAGCTCAGAATCAAGAAGCGACCGTGGAATTATGGGATCAGGCGTTAGGGATCAAGTCAATGAACATGACCATCAATCTTAGAGGAAGTTTGATTTCACTGGTGTTCTCTAATCTTTCCTAGTCTCTTCCCGTGAAACCCATCTCCAATCTTTCCCAGTCTCTCCAAATTCAACTCAGATTTCTTCTTCCAAGAAAACCCAACAAAGGTGTTCGACGAAATGCCTCAGTGAGCCGTTGAGATCCACCAAGAACCTGTAGGGGTCTTTGAGGCATTCGTGGAGGAACCGGAATCGATCGCCTAAAGAAGATGCTGATCTCTCTCCAACATCTGCTGCACGGAAGAAGAAGACGAAGAAGCCGCAATCTTCACGTCTTCATCGATCTCCAACATCTGATGAAAGGAAGAAGAAGACGAAGAAGCCGTAGTCTTCTCGTCTCCACCGAAAGCCAAAGCTCAAGAAACCGCCATGGCCATCCTCAAACAAAAGAAAGCCAAAGCTCAAGAACCCACCATGGCCAATCTCAAGCAAGAAGAAGAAGACTAAAAAGACAAAGTTGTATGATTTGAACGGATCGCCGGAGGCTCAGGTTTTTTCAGCGGTGTCTCCTGAGAGGATCTCGAGGGCCGAGCTCGAGGAAAAAGTTGGTGGTCAGATTTTCAAGATTGGTTCGTCCCAAGCAGTCAAGAATAAATGGGTGGAGATTGGAAAACAATGGTTCTCCAGAAAGGCAAAAAAAAGATCAATGACAACTAAATCATCAACGATACCATCCGCAATGACTGGCAAAGACATGGTTGGCGACAGTAACGACGGTGACCGTAAGCTTCCAGAAGAGCCGTGGAGTCAGAGGGATGATGGTAAAGACGTTGGTCCTAACCTTCGGAGGCTGTGGACCGAGAGCGAGGATGAGGTTCTTGAAGATTATGTCAGAAAGAATGGAGAGGGAAGCTGGAATATGGTGCAGAACAACACGGAATTACAGCATGAAGGCAAGAGCTGTAGAGATCGGTGGACAAACCATGTTCGCCATAATCTTAAGAAGGGACCAATAATCACTGACGATAGTAACGACAACTATAAACGCCATTGGCCGTGGACTCCGAGTGAGGACAAGATTCTTGAAGATTATGTCAAAAAGTATGGAGAGGGAAAGTGGAATGCCGTGAGGAAGAACACTGGATTGCGACGTTTTGGCGGGAGCTGTCAAAATCGGTGGATGGTTCATCTTCACCCCAATCGTAAGAAGGGACCGTTCACTGACGAGGAGCTCAAAACCATCAGGTGCTTGCATGATACATTGGGAAACAAGTGGTCTGCCATCACCGAACAACTACCTGGTCGGAGCGCTATAGAAATAAGGAGCTACTGGAACTCGATAAAAGGAGTATATCGAATCACATATATCGAGAGAGAATGTTCTACCTCCAATGTTGACTACAATATCAACTACAATGCTCTTCGTGGAGAATTCATCAACCTTAACCGACAATTACAACATCTGAAGAATCTAAATCCAAATCCAACACAGTCGATAAACTCTAACAACTTCAGTTATCTTGCGCTACAGGAACGACATCAATATGGCATCTACAACAGCAATGCAGTGATTCCCATACAAGAAAATACAAGTCCTTTGCTTGCTGGGGGGTCTGATGATTTAGATCATGCACCTATACCTGCACATGCTTATTCTTCATGCCAGCCTGAATTCCTGGAGCAAAGAAATAGGACGCTGAATGATTACGTTAATAGGACTGGGATTCAGAGTTATGATGACCGACTTGTTCATAAAAATGCACAGGATGTGTATTTCACAGGTTCATCAGATTTTCCATACATTAATCCTGTGACACAAGCACAACCGTAGTATGATGTGTACAACAACAATCAATAGTTGGGATCTTATTGGGAATCTTATTGGGATTTTTTTTAAAGGTTTCCTACGTTTGACCTTGAGACAAGGTCCAAATTAAGGGGAAGGGAATTGTCAGGAGCTAATATTTTGGATGGGAACCCGTCGATTGAGTCGAGAGCTTTGGAAGCTGAGAACCTGGAGCTGAAGCTGAAGACTTGGAAGCTTTGGTCTGATATGTAAAGCCTAGGGAGCTATCTGCAAGCACTTATAATTACTAGGGTCCTATATGAAGTGTCCAGCTCAGCAACTGTATAAATGTTTCTGTTTTTGTTGTTTCAGTTAAACTGTGTGCACGTGCACAAACAGTGCACGTTTCTTTGAGAGAGGATTGAATTGTTGAGTTGTATAAATAGTGAGTTGTAATGATCAGTAAAGGAATGAATGAAATCTGAAGTTTTCTTTTCCTCAACTCTTATCTCTGTTCTTCTTCAACCTTTGTTCACCTTTATTTGTGGAAAATTTGATGTAAAAGAAATAATGAAAGAAAAAATTGACTTGTATTCTCTCAAAATCGATTACAATTTGGATTCCGATTACAAAAGAGAGAAGAATGAATTTGATTCTCCCCTTTATTTAAAACTAGGTTCTTCACGGTAGCGATGGAGTGCCTCCCTCGAATGCTTGCGTCGAGTTTGCTCTCCGTTGACGATCCGACGTTTTGCTTCACTGGAATGATGTCTTCTCCTCACGATTCGACACTGTGAAGAACTTGTGTGGCAAGTTTGAGAACTCTGAATGAGTTTAGAATAACTCTGTGAAAGAGTTGATTTGAAACGAAGATCGGTTAATAAGCCAAGGCTAGAAGAAAGCTCCGGTGGTCGATCGTTGCTGAGGATGAACGTCGATCTCTCCCTTGCTGCCAAGCCAAAAGATCTCCTCTTCGCTGCTGAAGAGAGGATCAATCCGAGCCAAGAAACCCCAACCTCGCTGCCAAGTCTCAGATCCAAAAAGCCAGCCTGAACTCCATTGAGTTTACCCATATTTATAAGGAATTAAGGGGTGTAACCGCCCCCTTAATCCGCTCCTAAGTGGGGCGGAAATCCCTCAAATCGTGAAGGGAAAACGGTTCCTGCAACCGTTCAGCTCGTGTTTGAACGAGTCAAACGCTCACGTCGGCGTTCAGGACCCTAACTCCGCGTTTTAGAATGGAGACGTGGAGTTAGGTACTCGCTGGGCATTGAAAAACACGGGTCCGACCCCAGTGTTTTAATGTTATAACGCGGGTCCGACTCTAGCGTTTTGATGTTGTAACGCGGGTCCGACTCTAACGTTTTGATGTTGTAATGTGGGTTCGACCCTCACGTTTTGATGTTGTGACACGGGTCCAACTCCAGCGTTTTACTGTTGACACACGGGGAGGACCTCCGTGTTTTGGTGTTGATACACGGGGAGGACCTCCGCGTTTTGGTCTTAGAGCGCGGTGATGAGTTCCGCGTCTTGCTTTGGAGAGATTATCAACAAGTAATCTCTTTTGTCATAGCGTTGCAAAGATCATTGTCTTATAATCTTCATCTTGGCTCCTTGAGAATATGAGAGTCGTCAGATTGTAACTCCCGATGTTGATTGTGAATGCTGTTGAACTAGAGCTCTCATTGGTTGTCGTGAAGGTTGTCAGATTGTAACCTTCAGTGATCTATGTGAAAGTCTTCAAATTATAGCCTTCTGGAAGTCGTCAGATTGTAACTTCCATCATCGGTATTTGATGGGGGATAAGCTATCTATTGTGATTTTTAGACAGCCTACAGAAACCCCTCCAAAGTTTTCGAAAATTCACGGTTGACTGGGACGAATTTTCGGAATACTTTGGATCTCAACTCTGATCCTGGAGCTGTTGATTCCTTGTCATAAGGAGTTGTCCTCTGCTCCCGCTTCAAAGGCATCTTGGTTGAAGAGATTTGACACGCAGGACCTATGAGAGGATGAGCTTCGAATAGAAACTATTGCGACGATACAAGCCACTCATGAGCAGAAACTCTCAAACGCCACGCCACGGCTCACATCCATTCAGCTGATGGGCCCGCCAACATTCATAGGATTTTTGGCAAACCCTCAGCCATCAACAGATTTGATAAGCCTTTACCGACTACCGTTTGAGTCGGGCTAGCACGTGAATTATCTAGGTCCGTTCCACATGTAACGTTGTGCTAAGAGAATGAACTCTCTTAGTCTTGATGCTATGATTTTGAATACATGGACTTTGTCATTTTGACGGGAAAAGACTAACCGGCAACGCGTGTTAGGCGTAGACTTATCTCTATTTAGGGATCGAGATAAAGTCCCCCAGGGATGAATCCTGGTGTTTTTTTCACGGTGAAAGATTAACCGGCAACGCGTGTTAGACGTAGACTTATCTCTAATTAGGGATCGAGATAAAGTCCCCCATGCGTGTAAGGCATGGATTCTGGTGTTATTAATAACAACCTGCTACGATATTGAAGACGTAGACTTTGCCATTATTGCAGGAATAGGCTACCCGGCAACATGTGTTAGATGCAGACTTATCTCTGTTTAGGGGTCGAGATAAATTCCCCCAGGGATGAATCCTGATGTCTTTTTCACGGTGAAAGATTAACCGGCAACGCGTGTTAGACGTAGACTTATCTCTAATTAAGGATCGAGATAAAGTCCTCCATGCGTACAAGGGATGGATTTTTGGTGCTGTTTCTTCCCGTGTTACTTGAAACACTGAAAGAAAGATGGAAGTGCCAGAGGTGTAGTATTAACTTGGCATGATTTTTCACTTAGAGTGAAATTTAGAAATTTTCTTCACTATCATTAGGATAATTCCAGAAAATCTTTAATCCACTGGGGATTTAATAATGAAAACTTGCTATTCTTATTAAAAAAGAATTAACAAGTTCATTGGGGGGTTTGACTGTTAGAGGTGTGATGTTAACCTAATAGTATTTTATGGACCTATCGCTCTATTGGAGAGAGTCGATAAGCTGGTTTGGTCGTCAGAGGTGTGGTGTTAACTTGACGGGTTTGTGGATCTATCGCTCTATTGAAGAGAGTCGATAAGTGGATTTTGTCAGAGGTGTGATATTAACGTGACAAGAAGAATTTGCGATCGGGGTAATTTTGGGGACTTATCATCCTGTTGAAGAGGATTGATAAGTTGATTGTCAGAGGTGTAGTGTTAACATGACTCATCCTGTTGAAGAGGATTGATAAGTTGATTGTCAGAGGTGTAGTGTTAACATGACGAGAATTTGTTATGATTGGAACAACTTTGGGGACTTATCATCCTGTTGAAGAGGATTAATAAGTTGATTGTCAGAGGTGTAGTGTTAACATGACGAGAATTTGTTGCGATTGGAGCAACTTTGGGGACTTATCATCCTGTTGAAGAGGATTGATAAGTTGATTGTCAGAGATGTAATGTTAACTTGACAGGAATGTGTTGCGATTGGAGCAACTTTGGGGACTGATCATCCTGTTGAAGAGGATTGATAAATTAATTGTCAGAGGTGTAATGTTAACTTGACAGGAATGTGTTGCGATTGGAGCAACTTTGGGGACTTATCATCCTATTGACGAGGATTGATAAGTGGGTTTTGTCAGAGGTGTATTGTTAACGTGACAAGAATTTGGGGTGTACTTGTGACTTGCACAAGATTTTGGGGATTAGCGTCTCGCTGGGGAGACTTGCTAGGTGAGTTTATCATCAGAAGCGATAGTATAAGACTTAGTGTCTTGCTGGGGAAGATTGCGATTTGAGCAATTCTGAGGACTTATCATCCTATTGTCAAGGATTGATAAGTTGATTGTCAGAGGTGTATTGTTAACGTGACAAATTGGGAGTGATGCAAACTGAATACATACTCTGTGGGGATGATGATCGTCAGAAGTGTAATGTTAACTCGACGATGTGAAAGATTCGTTACTCTTAATCCAGTGGATTCCAAGTAATCAACCCCCAGTCTTGATTAAGACTTAGCAGGGGAATAAAAAGAGGTAGACAAGGCACATCACCTAGCGGGGCACTATCCATAAAGTCGGAATAGATTCACATCACCAGGTAGGCCATTATCTGATGAGTTTGACTATCAGAGGTAACTGTTAACGTGATAGTTTTTTAGACATGCCATCCTATTGAAGAAGATTGGCAAGTTGATGGACTATCAGAGGTAACTGTTAATATTATAGTTTTGTGGACCTGTCATCCTATTGAAGAGGATTGGCAAGTTGAGGGACTATCAGAGGTAACTGTTAACGTGATAGTTTTATGGACCTACCATCCTATTGAAGAGGATTGGCAAGTTGAAGGACTATCAGAGGTAACTGTTAACGTAATAGTTTTGTGGACCTGTCATCCTATTGAAGAGGATTGGCAAGTTGAGGGACTATCAGAGGTAACTGTTAACGTGATAGTTTTGTGGACCTGCCATCCTATTGAAGAGGATTGGCAAGTTGAGGGACTATCAGAGGTAACTGTTAACGTGATAGTTTTGTGGATCTTATGGTTGACAAAGGTATTCTATTGAACATGATAACTCAGAAAGTTTATTATTCATAATCCAATGAACTATAAATAAACCAACCCCCAGTCTTGAACAAGTGCAGGGGGGAAAAGGAGTAGACATGACACATCGCCTAGTAGGCCACTATCTAACGAGTCAGACTATCAGAGGTAATTGTTAACGTAATAGTTATTGGAGACCCGGCATCCTACTGAAGAGGATTAGCTTCAGTGGCCGTAGTATCTTCCCCTTCTGACTGAGGAGATTGGGCTTGGTCCGATTGCTCAGGTTGATCATGCCTACTTTGTTCTTCAGCTTCGATCCTGGCAATAATCTTTTGAGCCTGTTCGCCTTGAGAGATTAGTTGTCTCCAGGAACGGCATTCTGCAACTCCGATTCGGGCTAGGAGGTCGGTCTGCAAGTTATGTCGACAGGTCTCTACTAAAGTAGACTGTGTCATACCTGACGAACATCGGAGAGCCATGGTTC